GATTAACGACCACCACAATTCAGAGGTTTGAGATTTATTATCGAATTACCAGATGATATTATATTAAAAATAGATCCAAATGTTTTCGCAAACCAACAATATGACGGACATCATTAAAATATCAAAAACATCTGAAATCTATATGGAGAATCTAGCCTAGTGACTGAGAAACTTGTTGCATTATGTAAAGATGACATCAAAACAAAGATAGACGGATGATCAAAAGAACAAGAATAACAATCGGGGTCTCTCCTATGATATAAACAGCCCAAACAAAAAAAGGGTTGGAAATGCTGAGCTATTTTTTCCTGTTTCTCTCTGTGTGACAGACGCTGATCTTCACAAATCCCAGTGTATCTCACGATAAATCCACGTAATGTGGATTAAAAGATGTTGAGATATATATAGTTATATCAGAGGAATAGATTGGACCAGACCTTGCCACCAAACAAATCCCCTGCATCATGCCCAGAAAGATGGGGAAATTACTCCAAATTAAGGTCGAGACTAACTGCCACCCACCTACCATCCATACCCTCTGTTTCTCTCTGTTTTTCTATCTGTCTCACTCGCACAAACACATACATATATACTCTAGCTTGTAATCCAGGCTTGCTCTGGCCTCCATCAGCTCCTGTCCATTAGGATGTTTTCCTTTTCTTTCTTTTTTTTCCAGCATGCCCCCAAATCCCCTCCACTTTTCTTTCATCAGTGCATAAAGAGCCACAGCTGCTTGTCTCTGTACAACATTAACACACATTTGGACTCACTGAGCAACACAGTCACAAGTCTGATGGTGCAAAACATCAAATTCTGAAGCGTTCCTTTGGTTTGTTTAGTGGAGCTCTACAACTGTTGGGCAAAATTGGCTCTACAAATAGTTAACCTTTTATCTACTTTCTGAGCTAGCATAGCTATTTCCAAAGCATGTAGATTTCAGTATCAAATTTGGTTTGCACAAAGCTTAGACAATATGATTTACAACTACAAATGGAAGACTTTTTAAGCACACAAACGTCTGAAAACAGGTTATAGAGTGCAAGTTTTTGAAAACGATACCATTATCGTCTCCATGTAAACTAGAAAAATGCGAATTTGTGAAAATGGTAACAGTCTATAGAGGCATGCACGAGAAGTTGATAACAATAATACAGCGTTTTTGGTCATTTGCGCAGATCCGTATGAACAGGGATCGTTTTGGACAACGTTGTCATGTACTTTTCAGAAACGCAAAGGAAAAACTTTTCTTTTTTTAGTACATAGTTGTTGTGCAAATGTACCTTCAGTTTGAATCATTCAGCAAGTGGCTTCTCACTTCATAAAACAGTAACAGAATACTTTAAAACAACTGAATGAAGTGGATATTTAGCTATAACCAATTGAAACCAAATCTGCAAATAACATCTGGTTTGCTAGTGCATGAAATCTAAACTGTCCTAAGGTCTAAGCAAACAGCAATATAATTTCTGTGACAATTAATAATCAGATGCTTTTTGTTTTCTAGTAAACATGTAGAAGAACAAATTACCAAAGACTATTTGTGATATTTCATGTAATTAAAATAAAATGCATAAAACAATTGTGTGTGTGTGTGTGTGTAAGTTAATCAATGTTTGCCCAACACTGAATAAATGCATGTTATAGAAATGCCAAGGGATGTAGGCATTAAACACTGAGAGAGAACTTCAGCGGTCTTGGTTCAACTAGGCACCAGGTGCACCACAGCTGAACAACATAAAACGGCACAGAAATGAGAAAAATATGTTGCATTATACCACATGATATACCAGAAATTTGCAACATTATACTACATAAGAAGTAATCAATGTCAGTCTGTGAAGAGTTAGTGATATATAGTCATGCTGTAACCCCCAGCATCTACTTTCACAGGGGCAGGTGAAATGACAGCACGTCAGCTCATTCAGAGAGATGGATGGCTGTGGATCAGCTCAGTGACTGTCATTTATCTCAGACTGAATGTGAAACGTATATATTAGAAAACTACTTCACTGATTTATCTTAGACTTATTGAGTGGACAGGCCCCCGAAACATAGATTATTAAATGCTGCTATCTAAGACTATTACAATAGAGCAAACTATCTGCTGTAGGTTTCTCAACCTCAGAACTTCCAGTCCAACTCCCACTTCACAGCTGTCAATATGCAAAACACTCAATGTGTCTCAATCAGCTTTTAGCTCAGTAGTAGTTTTATCAATGTCATTCAGAGCACTAAAAGACATTCGCTCTTTAAAAAATCCTAGAATGCTGCATAAGAACCAGTCAGCACTGTTGCTCATTATACTTACTTAAAGGGGTCCTATTATGCTTTTTCACTTTTTCAACTTTAGTTAGTCTGTAATGTTGCTGTTTGAGCATAAAAAAGATCTGCAAAGTTACAAAGCTCAAAGTCCAATTCAAAAGGAGACATTCGATTTATCAGAAATCACTTTTCAAAAACTACAACGAACGACTCGTTTGGACTACAATGCATATTTTCCGGGATTTGTGATTTCACAAATACCGATGAATGGGACGAGATCTGCTTGAGCTGCACTAGAGAAGGCAACGAGTGTTATCACTATGTCGGAGACACACTAGCTTTCCCAAGGCAGACGAACTTAGAGTGGTTACAATCATCCAGGTTTAAATCACGCTCAAATTGATTTGATTTGACACAGCACACACTGGCCCAGCTAACCAATCACAGCACATTTCGTATTTCAGAAGGCGGGCCTTCCTTTGATACAGGAACTATTCGAGCCGTTCATGACAGACTGGGGAGAGAGGTGTTGTAATAATGTAAAATATGTGAAAAAGAATGTGTTTTTCGAACAACCTAGTATGAAAGCCTGTTCTAGTACACCCCCAAAACAAAATCAAGACTTTGTAAAAGAGCATAATAGGACCCCTTTAATGTATTTATTTATCAGTTTATCCAAAAACGATGCAAATGTCATATTTTCTTTAGCCTCAAGTCAACAAAATGGAAGAAGAATGAATATTTAATGGTAGTCCCAATCACAATATGATCATACCTAAAGGATTTCCATTTTAATGCATTACAAAGCAATGTCATTGATAAATCCCAGTGACGTTTAAGGTGCAAGATATTATTGTCCCAATGCTCGGTGGATTAAGATTCTTCTCAGTCCCTGAAATTGTGTTCACTATATACTGGATCTGACATCGGAAACTAGGGAGTAAAATGAGAGAGCAATTATCAATAAAATACAATAAATATAAAGCATAATCTTCACAAAGTGGTACACTTAAGAATGTATGACTTCCATTGCAAAACTTTTTAATTCTTTTTTCTAAACAAAAACTTTTCTCATAAGCATCAACCACTTGCTACAAATGTTCAACAACTGAAAAATGCAAATCCATTTGAATATTCAATATTTTAAGTACCATAAGCAAGACTTTTGGGGTCACTGCAATTTGCATTAATCTGCGATCTCTCTTTGCAAACCAAGTTTTTGACCATAAGGCCACCTGTGTACCATTTATACTGAAGTCAGCTTTTTAACTAGCAACAGTGCTTTGGAGCAACCAGCGGTTTAATGACAGTCTCACAGACAAGCGACTGTTGAATTAACAGATTCTACTCAGCTGACATGTCTCGTAATGCATATCCCTGTCAACACAAAGCCTGTAAAACAAGATGGTCTTGATTAAAAATGCTGCGTCTACTGTTACTGTCTTGTTGCCAGTAAATGGTCTGTGATACAAGAAAAACTGTCTGTTTTACTCACACAAAATGCAAAAAATAAATAAATAAGAGCATCCTACAAACATCCTGAATAAAATTTCTCCAACCAAACTTTTTTTTTTTCCTGAAGGGCCCATATGTTCATCTACCACCCAAAACAGGTGTAGCAAAATAACAGATTAACACTCATTCCCAAGAGCCACGGGCCGCTTGTTTTCACTTTACTTAAACGCCATAGCAGCTGTGGAAAAGAGACCATCAGCGATGTTTGAAAAATCCCAGCTAACACCGAATGCACAAGATCAAGAGACCAAACCACACCTGGGGATACAGGCCTACTTGTCTATTCTACATTTAAAAAAAACTGTATACACAAGGCCTACATTAAGTTTTTCGAGCACACTCGCGCGGTCTCTAGGGGTCTTAATTGGAGGTGGCCAAAACCAGTGAAATCTAGTTCGTTCCCAAGGTTGGGACCATCTGCATGCAAACTCACCTCCGCAAAGTAGAAATAAATATATAAAAAAACTCAGAAGCCACGTGTGATAAACACCTGCTCAGTCTGGGGAATATCTGTGTACCAATCTGCGATGATTTCTATCTCCATCTAAATAAACAGTACAGTAGGTTGGAAGGGGTGAATTTTTTTTCCTTCCGTCTGTCTGAACATCAGCCCAGCACCGTCAAAGCCTGGCAGCTGGTGGGAGTCTGGTAACATAAGGGCCAGACTAGCCATTACCAAGTTTTTTTGAAAACAAGGCTACAAAAATGCACATTTTGGTAAATGAACATTAAAATTTAGTTAGACCACCCCAGTTTACTGAAGCCTATGAATCTTTTTTCACCAACCAATTACTTAAATTTCATTCATGAAATTCTATTTGTATTCTATTTGTGAAAGGTGTCACACATGCTTGAGTGGAGACGATAGTTCTTTCATTTCTTTAGTTGAGCATGTGTACTAGTTCTCATCTACCCTCGTGTCTGTGCACATAAGTTGCCAAAGGCAAAAGCGAGAGGCAAAGATGTGTTTGTACGTGTGTACGTTTGTGCATGTGCGTCCACGTAAAGCAGGGGAATCAAATGCCTGCAGAATCCCGAAGAGCTGGGCTGTCAGTCAGACAAGTGTTGGAGAGCTTGTTGGGCTCTGATAAGTGCATTTATGGAAAATGCCTGCCTGTCTTTATCTCCTCATTGCAGGTTAGATCACCAATAAAAAAGGGCTAGGTGAGGAGAGAGGGAGGAGGGTGTCAGATAAATGTGCTCCATCGCTCTACCTGCCTGTGGTGAAGAGAACATCTGAACCTTTCGGTATAGAGATGAATTGGAAATGACCATAAGCCGCACTCATCAACAGCTGCCAGCCTTGCGGGTCTCTCTCGACTCTGCGTCTGGCTTCAATCCGAGCGCCATATCATCCACGGACTGCATTTTTCCTGTAAACAAAGGTCTTACAATTAGGTTAGGTTACCTCCTCACCATCTCTCTTTGTCTCTCCGCTCCAATTTTCAAACCCTTGTCCTTGTTTATTTCATAAATTTATTTTTTGACCGTTATGAACTCTCCTACTTTTTAAACACACTTTCGCCCTCCCTTCCCAATGTTTTTTTTTCCTCCCGTATCGTCGGAGAGCTGGAACCTGGAGCTTAGGGATGAGGGAGTATGTTTAGCTCGCCTTGGGCTCCGTTCCTTTCAAAGCCGCATGCAGAATGGCACTATCGGTTGCTAGCTAACGCCTCACTGTGCAGGACAGGGTACCTTGAGGAATCACTGTTTGCCCAGCCAAAGCCGAGCTCTGATAGGTTCGCCCGATTCTCACTTTTTAAAGTATGAGATTGTGAAGAGGGAAAAAGGAAAAGCCGCCACGAGCTAAAAGCACGCTGGCACACATCCTCTCATAGCAGTACATTTATTTGTGTTTCATGTTTTCCATCTGCAGAATTGAATTTATGGGCATGACAGCGAGTGTGTGCGCGATAGACCGCCTTACCACCACACACAACAAACATGTTATATACTCAACTACTGGCTGGAGTCCACAAGAAATGTGACAGAAATTAAAAACTTGCGCAAGAGTACACAAACATGCATGCAAGCATCCCAAATTTGCTGTTAATTTCACCTGGCTCGCATCTCAAGCGATTAACCATCAGGTAATTTTCCAGTTCTTTCTCTCAGCCGATTTATTTCCTCGTCTCTCTCTTTTAGAGACCCTGTGTTTTACTCTGGAATCCATTTAAAAATCCAATGTATTGATTTCTACACTCACTTTTTTTTCTAGTGACTTGACCCCCACAGTTAAATATTCATAAGGCATTAAATATAAAAGATGCACATTTTGTACGTCTGACCTATTGTAATATACGGCGGCAGCGGTGGTAATTTGCACCATCCGGCATAGTGAGGTGAACCTGGCAACATCAGAGACAAACAAAACCATCAGTGTCCCACATGCTCAGCGTTGATTAGTACGCCACAAAAAAGACAATGCAATTTTCCCTTTTGGCAGGGCAGGGGCCTCCATGACTACCTTTATAACATTATGTTGTTGATGATGTTCTTATAAATGGCTTTTTTTCTCTCTCACTCAAAGCCAAACTGGGGAAATTGGCTTCCATTATGGCTTTTAAATAAAATAAGCGCAAAGCAATAAGAACTGAAACTCGGGAAAGCCATAAAACCGCTAATTAAGATGCGCCACGGCTCAGCTAGCGAGAGAGATACAGTAGAACGGAGAGTATATTTTTTGAAAATCCCCACAGAGAGAGGAAAAAAGATGGTGGCGGTGGGGGAAGGGGGCTGGCGGAAAGAAAATAGAGAGACAAGCTTTATTCCCTGGGTAAGGCTTAGTCAATCTGTCCTGTCTGGATCCAATATAACGCATTAAAACTGAATTATACAGCACCGCTCGGCGCATTCACTTTAGTGGTGGAGGAAACCGGGGACAAGCGGGTGTGAGTTACTCGTTTTTTCTCTCTTCCCACCCATGACTATTCCAACCTTTTCTTTCCTCTCTCTTGCTTGCTCTCATCATTATTTCTCAGAACGGTTTGCAAGGCCTGTGATACGTGAAAAGGATGCCATGTTGGCTCAGTGTGGGCCCTTGCATCTTCCAAGAGGGAGGAAGAGAAGATCCAAAGCTCCCTTGTGCAACCATATGGACGAGAAGGATGTGTAGAGGGGTCCCTGACAGAAAGGAAGAGGCTCCCCCTGCGTCACAGAAACATCTCAAGGCAGACTATACAAGAGGGGCTTTAGGAACCGTAGGGGTCCCTCGACTGGAAGTAGGTGCTAAACGTTTTAAATATGACAAGACACTCCACGGGGGACTAGGAATATAGGAAGATGAGGATGAAGGCACTCAGGAGAAGCAGATATCAAATGCAGGTTAATGTGTAGCATTCATACACCGTTTATTAAAAGTCTAGTAAGCAACCCTAAAAAAAAATACAATCTGCTATAATTTATGCACTCTTTTCCACTTTTTAAATATTGTTTAAAAGTTTAGGGTCAGTAAGATTTTTTTTGTTTGTTTGTTTGTTTTAATATATTATTATTTTTGTTCAGCAAGGAAGCATTAATCAAAAGTGAAAGTGAAGACATTTATAATGTTAAAAAAATTAATTTTTTTGCAATTGTTTATTGTATGTTGAATATTTTGTCTTATTGTGCCGGCAGATTTTAAATATAAATATTATATATACATATTCCATACATATACATATACATATTTATATATATAAATATATATACTGTATATAGTTCAGTCATGAAACTCTAGATGGCACAGGCTGACGGGTTGTTATCGTAACTGATGATATTCAGAGAGTTAAACAACTTGGCACAAGCTGATTGGTTCATGCTGCATATGCTTTACATTTATATGGCTGACTAGCATTCACTTGAGATTCCTGCAGCGTGCTTTCAGAGTTTCTGTGAAACCCTCCTCCTTCCCCAGCTCCACCTGTATAGATCTGCTACGGGTTATTTTATATGCTATTTGTGCAGCAGCAGTATGTCTTAAATACTCACGGCACCATATCGCCATATGCATTGGCAGTAGTGTCAGTGTTCCTTGTTTTACCCCTGTCTTAGTTCCTGTTTTCCTTATTTGGTCTTTCCTGTTCCTGCCCTTGTTGTGTGAATTCATATCCAGCTGTGTTTGATTCATTAGTTCATTTGCTCCCAGGTCCTATTGTCCTATTTGGTTTCTGTGTATTTAAAGTGTTCCCAATATGTCAGTGTTGTGGACTTATGGTTCCTTGTTTTACCCCTGTCTTAGTTCCTGTTTTCCTTATTTGGTCTTTCCTGTTCCTGCCCTTGTTGTGTGAATTCATATCCAGCTGTGTTTGATTCATTAGTTCATTTGCTCCCAGGTCCTATTGTCCTATTTGGTTTCTGTGTATTTAAAGTGTTCCCAATTCCTAGTTCTCTGTCCGCTGTTAAACGTCATACCGGAGTTCTTGTGTTTGTATCCCTTTGTTCGTTGAATTAAATTTTAGTTAAAGTATTCTCCAGTGTCTCCTCGTTCCTCCAAAGTGAAACGTGACAGAACAGCGGACCAAACAAGATGATTACGGCTGAAGACAGGCTTTGGTGTCTGCGGCAGGGTGGTCGGGAATTGGAGAGGTATGTAGAGGAGTTCCTAGAGCTCTCCAACCAGGTGAGCTGGTTCGACTCTGCTCTCGGTGTCTGTTTTCGGCTGGAGCTGGATGATGACGTAATCATCTGCGATCTTCCCACGTATACTGTAGTTTTCCCCTGATCAAGCTGGTTAATCATGTCCTTTATTTAAATGCAGTTAATCTGGAGGTAGAAAGTGTTCGGAGCAATCATCATCCAGTCCCTCCCGAAAACCACCGCGCCTCACCAGCTCACCCCTCGCCAGGACCCTCCACATACCCAGCCAAATGTTCCGACCACCCATCTCCTCCCAGCACTGTCTCTGTCCTCAGCCCAGACCCGCTGGCCGTTCCTCAGTCAAGTCCTCTGGCCGTTCCTCAGTCAAGTCCGCTGGCCGTTCCTCAGTCAAGTCCGCTGGCCATTCCTCAGTCAAGTCCGCAGGCCGTCCTTTATTTAAATGCAGTTAATCTGGAGGTAGAAAGTGTTCGGAGCAATCATCATCCAGTCCCTCCCGAAAACCACCGCGCCTCACCAGCTCACCCCTCGCCAGGACCCTCCACATACCCAGCCAAATGTTCCGACCACCCATCTCCTCCCAGCACTGTCTCCGTTCCTCAGTCAAGTCCGCTGGCCGTTCCTCAGTCAAGTCCGCAGGCCATTCCTCAGTCAAGTCTGCTGGCCGCGGCTCTCTCCAGCCCGCTGGCCGTTCTGATGTCAAGCCCACAGGCCGCTACGAAGTCAAGCCCGCCGGCTGCGGCTCTCTCCAGCCCTCCGGCCATTCAGCACTCAAGCCTGCCGGCTGATCCAATGTCAAGCCCGCCGGCCGTTCAGCACTCAAGCCCACTGGCTGTGACTCACACAAGCCCACTGGCCGTTCGGCACTCAAGCCTGCCGGCCGCTCCGATGTCAAGCCCACCGGCTGCGGCGCACACAAGCCCGCTGGCCATTCAGCACTCAAGCCTGCCAGCCGCCACGAAGTCAAGTCCGCCGGCCACCCTATTCACCCATAACCAAAAAATGAGAAAGAGGAGAAATGGACGGCTCACGCCCCTCTTCCACGCCCGAGAGCGATCCCCGGAGCTCGCTCCAGTGTCGGCTCCGGCTTCAGAGCTCGCTCCAGTGTTGGCTCCAGCCCCTGAGTTGGCTCCAGTGCCAGCTCCTCGAAAGCGCCTTGCTGTGCCTGCTCCTCCAGAGCACCCTCCAGTGCCAGCTCCTCGTAAGCGCTTCACAGTTCCCGAGTATAGCCCACGGAGGGCTCCAGTTCCCGAGTATAGTCCATGGAGGGCACCAGTTCCCAAGTATAGCCCATGGAGGGCTTCTGCCCCCAGGTTTAGCCCAGTGAGGGCGCCTGATTCCTCATTTAGCCCTGGAAGGGCTCCTGACCCCCAGTTAAGCTCAGGGATGGCTCCTGATTCCTCGTTTATCCCAGGACGGGCTCCTGATTCCCCGTTTAGCCCAGGGAGGGCTCCTGATTCCTCGTTTATCCCAGGACGGGCTCCGGATCCCCAGTTAAGTCCAGGGAGGGCTCCATTCGGCCGGTTTTGGCCCTGAGAGGGCCTTGGAGCCCGTAAGCGTCCCCAAGTATTTTTTTTGGGGGGGAGGGGAACTGCCTGTTCCGCCATGGCTCCCCGTGCTCCCTACTCCGCCATGGCCTCCTGAACTGCCTGCTCCACCATGGCTTTCCGTGCTCCCTACTCCGCCATGGCCTCCTGAACTGCCTGCTCCACCATGGCTTTCCGTGCTCCCTACTCCGCCATAGCCTCCTGAACTGCCTGCCATCCTGTACCAGCCTCCAGGGGGGAGTTATGTCAGTGTTGTGGACTTGTGGTTCCCTATTTTACCCCTGTCTTAGTTCCTGTTTTCCTTATTTGGTCTCTCCTGTTCCTGCACTCATTGTGTGAATTCGTATCCAGCTGTGTTTGATTCATTAGTTAATTTGCTCCCAGGTGTGTCCGACTTGGTGTCTGTGTTTTAAAAAAATTTAAAGTGTTCCCAATTCCTAGTTCTCTGTCCGCTGTTAAACATCATACCTGAGTTCGGCTCCTGATTCCTCGTTTATCCCAGGACGGGCTCCGGATCCCCAGTTAAGTCCAGGGAGGGCTCCATTCGGCCGGTTTTGGCCCTGAGAGGGCCTTGGAGCCCGTAAGCGTCCCCAAGTATTTTTTTTGGGGGGGAGGGGAACTGCCTGTTCCGCCATGGCTCCCCGTGCTCCCTACTCCGCCATGGCCTCCTGAACTGCCTGCTCCACCATGGCTTTCCGTGCTCCCTACTCCGCCATGGCCTCCTGAACTGCCTGCTCCACCATGGCTTTCCGTGCTCCCTACTCCGCCATAGCCTCCTGAACTGCATGCCTTCCTGTACCAGCCTCCAGGGGGGAGTTATGTCAGTGTTGTGGCCTTGTGGTTCCCTATTTTACCCCTGTCTTAGTTCCTGTTTTCCTTATTTGGTCTCTCCTGTTCCTGCACTCATTGTGTGAATTCGTATCCAGCTGTGTTTGATTCATTAGTTAATTTGCTCCCAGGTGTGTCCGACTTGGTGTCTGTGTTTTAAAAAAATTTAAAGTGTTCCCAATTCCTAGTTCTCTGTCCGCTGTTAAACATCATACCTGAGTTCTTGTGTTTGTATCCCTTTGTTTGTTTGATTAAAATCGATGTTAAAGGGGTCATATGATGCGATTTCAATTTTTCCCTTCTCTTTGGAGTGTTACAAGCTCTTGGTGCATAAAAAAGATCTGTAAAGTTGCAAAGACTAAAGTCTCAAATCCAAAGAGATATTGTTTATAAAAGTTAAGAGTCAACCACGCCTACCTAAAATGGCCCGTTGTAACATGCCCCCACATGTCTACGTCACAATGTGGGAAGATTTGCAACACCGCCCAAATGTTTACGCAAAGAAAGAAGGCGTAACTTTGATTCTCGCTGTAGTATTGTTGTTGCCGTGTGTTTCGTTGTGAAAGCGAAACTACTTTGTTTGGCCTTCCAAAAGAGGAGGATATCCGCTTCGTCATGCCTAGAGCTGATCCGGGCTCCTGATTCCTCGTTTATCCCAGGACGGGCTCCTGATTCCCCGTTTAGCCCAGGGAGGGCTCCTGATTCCTCGTTTATCCCAGGACGGGCTCCGGATCCCCAGTTAAGTCCAGGGAGGGCTCCATTCGGCCGGTTTTGGCCCTGAGAGGGCCTTGGAGCCCGTAAGCGTCCCCAAGTATTTTTTTTGGGGGGGAGGGGAACTGCCTGTTCCGCCATGGCTCCCCGTGCTCCCTACTCCGCCATGGCCTCCTGAACTGCCTGCTCCACCATGGCTTTCCGTGCTCCCTACTCCGCCATGGCCTCCTGAACTGCCTGCTCCACCATGGCTTTCCGTGCTCCCTACTCCGCCATAGCCTCCTGAACTGCCTGCCATCCTGTACCAGCCTCCAGGGGGGAGTTATGTCAGTGTTGTGGACTTGTGGTTCCCTATTTTACCCCTGTCTTAGTTCCTGTTTTCCTTATTTGGTCTCTCCTGTTCCTGCACTCGTTGTGTGAATTCGTATCCAGCTGTGTTTGATTCATTAGTTAATTTGCTCCCAGGTGTGTCCGACTTGGTGTCTGTGTATTTAAAGTGTTCCCAATTCCTAGTTCTCTGTCCGTTGTTAAACATCATACCTGAGTTCTTGTGTTTGTATCCCTTTGTTTGTTGAATTAAATTCTAGTTAAAGTATTCTCCAGCATCTCCTCGTTCCTCCCAAGTGAAACGTGACAAGTAGCAAGTTCCAGTACTTGCTTGCAATAATCTACAACTACAGCAATAACCAACTGCAGCAGTAATTCAGCAGCAGCGTAGCAGATCTAGTCCGCCAAGACCAAATACATTCACAATGTCATATCCATCACCATGCTAAAATCTTCAGAGTTGTCATGATTGAAATTATATATATATATATATATATATATATATATATATATGCAAATATATTTTAAAAAGTTAAAGGCCATGGGGAAAATAATTAGACAATGCAATAAGACAAAATGTACAAGTAAAAAAAGACATTCAGATATTAAGGTTTTGTTTTTTGTTTTTTTCTTACATTTTTAGCACTATAAAAGCAGCATGTGAACCTTTTTGACAAACAAGGATTACCCTATAGATATACACTATGGAAATCCAGAACAAACCAGAAAGGTTTAAAGGGGTCATATGATGCTGCTAAAAAAGAACATTATTTTGTGTATTTGGTGTAATGAAATGTGTTTATGCGGTTTAAGGTTCAAAAAACACATTATTTTCCACATACTGTACATTACGGTTTCTCATCGGCCTTTCTGAAATGCGTTGATTTTTACAAAGCTCATCGGTCTGAAAAAGCGAGGTGTGCTCTGATTGGCCAGCTATCCAGTGCGTTGTGATTGGCCGAATTCCTCAAGCGTGTGACGGAAATGTTACGTCCCTTACCATATTGTGATGCCTGCGGCAACCACATGTGACGACCCCGGGCTGGACTCCGCTTTGTCCACGGTGAAAGCCGATCCGGCGATCGACAGCATGAAGTTGAAGTATTTCCTCAGCGACCAGCACGGATCAGCTTCAGGCATGACGAAGTGATATCGTCCTCATTTGGAAGGCCAAACAAAGTAGTTTCGCTTTCACAACGAAGCACACAGCGCCTTCACGACATGGCGGCAACAATACTACAGCGACGGCAACAATACTACAGCGAGAATAAAAGTTACGCCTTCTTTCTTTGGATGAACATTGGGGTGGCGTTATGCAAATCTTCCCACATAGTGAGGTAGATATGTGGGGGCGTGTTAGAACGAGCTGTTTTAGGGAGGTGTGGCTGACTCTTAACTTTTATAAAGAATATCTCTTTGGATTTGAGACTTTAGTCTTTGCAACTTTACAGATCTTCTTTATGCACCAAGAGCTTGTAACACTCCAAAGAGAAAGGACTAATTGAAATCACATCATATGACCCCTTTAAAATGAACTGAACTGAAATGCTTCTACTTCTCATTGCTCAAATATAGTGTTTCTTTTACCGCTGAGATTAACAAATGCATACATAAGAGCAGTATTTCTTGGGCTTTAGGAGTTTCATGGCACTTTGATCCAACAGGATAAGGGATAAATCCCGAACCCATGAAGAACCAGCAGTTCTTTATCAAATAGATTAGGAGATGAGCTTTACTATTTAGGCATTATGGGAGCTTTGGTCACAAAGTGTCACAGCTCTAATGTGTTGCATGTCTATTCCATTTACTCTGCCAAGTGACTGTGGAGAGGTGGGTAAATGGTAAATCCGCTCATGCTGGAATGGATGATAAAGTCATATGTAATTCCATTCCTTCTTGCAGTAGCAATCGCTTCAAGTCTTGTGACTTGCATATAATTTCTAAAACTTACGTAGACACAATTGTTTTTCCTTTCATCCAACAGAGACAAAAGACAGTGACCAGAAATGACTGGGGAGAGAGAAGGAATGTGATCTGGACTCAATCCTGCATGACCAGCACGTCAGGGCCACGTGTGCTAACCGCTGTGATACACATAAGCTTTTATGGTTAAGATCTAGTTTTATCAACCCCCACCTTTTGTTGTCTTTGTTCGTGTCCTCCTGCTTGCTTCTGAATGTCAGAGGTCTCATCTAATGGAAAATCAGGCTGTAGGTTATTGACTGACACGAGACAGCTGGATCAGTAGCAGATAACTGAGGGTCAGATTGAGGAGTCAAACCCAAACAGTCAAACCCAATCCTCTTTAAGGCCTGGAGGAGGAGGATAATGTCTAATTAGGGATTTACTTTAAGATACACAAGTAATTACACTACTGACGACAACAACAAAAACAGATAATACAAGCACACAGAATGAAAAACAACAGCTGATATGTTTTCTTTCAGGTGGGCCACCATAGTGGTAATCTAACTGACAAAGATGTTCAATGACAGTGTTTTTTTATATTTTGCCAATGATAACACAAGAAAAACTAACACAGCAAGACATTAAATCACTAGAAAAAAGAAAAAGGTAAGGTAAATCCAAAGTATTTTGAAAATGCTGAGTTAAGTCAAATAAATAAATAAATATTATTTAAATGTAATTAAAATTGAATATAGTAAATTAAGCAAAGAAATTATGCACACATGCATATATATGTAAACTAAATGGACTAAAACTAATTGAATTAAATTGAAATGAATTAAATTTGAAGGGTAAAAAAGAAAAATGTTACAAAATGACACTAATGCCATGGTCCACCATTAAGTCTAAATCACAATTAAATTTTACAACTGAAATTACAATTGAATTAAAAAAGTGAATATATATTCACACACATTATTCATGTATTTATATACTTGCACTTTCTCTATACACACAGAGAGAGAGAGAGAGATACATAAATAATTAATTAATTTAATTAAACATAAAAAAACTATATTACTGCATTGTTCCACCAATAGGTCTAACAAACAAAACAATAAAGGGCACACTCTCATGGTGAAAATACTGATTTACTCCACTTAGAAATGCTATTTCCAACCCTAAATGCACAAGAAAATCCATTATCAGCTAAGTCTTTTTTTAACACAAGCTATTTGATTACAAAAAAAGCTACAAAAGAATGTGGTTGGCAGAAACCACCCTATGCTCAATCTAATTAGCTTTTTGGCAGCTTGGTAGATTTTCAAAAGTGGAAAAGAACAAAAATGTCACGCATTCATCTTTTTATTATCATTGTTATTATTATCATTTCGGGCAGACAAACTTTGGGATTTCAAGCTTATTCTAACAAGTCTGAAAGACTATAAACACTCTCCTTCTCTCTTGATAAACTGTTATTGTTGATCCAATAATTAAAAGTACATAGACTCTTGAGGCCTGCTTCCAGCTCTTATTCCGGACACTTCACTGGAATGCACGAGTATGTGATTCTGTCGACTGCTATGTTTATGTTGGGGAGCGTAAAGCAGGCATCAGGGCACTGTGCTCCAGGACATCAGCCTCGCCAGCAAATCTGCCCCTGATTCCCAGACCCCGTCCAAACCACCCACCCACCCCCTTTTATTAAAATAGGTCACTTCCAAGTGAAGCCAGTTGGCAAAGAAAAGAAAACAGACTTTCTAAATAAACAACAAATGTAAGGGGAAAAGGAGGTATGAAGAAGATCAGATTCCAAATTGTTTCTTTTATTCGCGACTTTGTTGTCTAAACCCCTGCTGAAATTCCGAGGATGTGATCTGCAGCGGAAGGAATTTTGCTGGTGGGGAGTGAGAGCAGCATTGTCTTTAGGCAGGGTGTTAGAAAAGAAAGCCCAACATAGCCTACATACAGCCAGCCAACAGCGAGCGCATGTAATCCACCCAAGACATAAGCTGGAGGGAGGGATGTAATTGAAGCTGCCTTGACAGGAGCAAGGAAACACAAGATTGGAGATTTGGAAAGGATGGAGGGGGGACCCGACTGCGGATGGGTGTGTATGTGCGTGTTCTGTGGTCACAAGAAACAGCAGATGGTTAATTTCCTTCCTGTGTTGATTTGGGGGGCAAGATAGACAAAGCTGAGGATGACTCGTTGGGCTAGAATACGGAAGTCCATGAGGCCAGACGCTAACAAGCCAAATACCTCCATATACTAACCGACATTTCCACACGTAGGGAGATGTCTTATCTTTAAGCTGTAGGGAAAAGAAATGGAAATGACAGAGATTCTGAAGTATCTTGGTTGCATGTCTCTGGGGGAAAATCGGTAAATTCAGGAAATACAAGTACAAAACACAAACCCAATTTGATGTACTTTGTCTTGTTCTCTAGTGAAAATGTCAACATGCTGAAACAAGATAAATTTACTTGAAAAGGAAATAAAATTTTTCAAAGATATCTTACAAATTTTTGTGTGGTTTGTGCTTAAAAAAAACTGTGGAATTAAAAAAAATAGATTGTTTTCCCTTTGAATAAAGTTGTTTTTTACCCATCTGGCAAATCATTTCTTTATTTGAAAATGTCATTTTGCTTCAAATAAATGTGTTATTTTAATAATGCTGAGATATTTATACTGGAAAATGAAAAAAGACTGAGCAAAAAAAATAATGCTGTGAATGTCTTAATTTAAACCCTTTTGAAATGCTTAAAATCTAGGAAGTAGTTTAAGGGGCGGTTCACACAGAACGCATCTTAACATCTAAAAACACGAGACGCGACACTCAGGAATGTTGTTTTAAAAAAGTGCTGTGCAGAATGCCTCCTCCGTCATGTTGCCGTCAAATAAAACTGTACTGTAAATAAAAGCTCTCAAAGCTTGCCCCACCTCTGGTGTCTGATTGGTCCATTGTTTTGGAACTGATGAGAAGGCACTGCGTGTAAAAGTTGAGATTATTTTAACTTAACCCAGCATCTTAAAAATGTTCCACTCATGTACAAGATGCTGCAAAAGATGAAAGATGCAAGTGCAATGGCCATGCATGTCCGTCTAGTGTGTTTACATAGAAAAACAACGGAGACGCAACGCATTGAAATCGAAAAACGAGTTCTGTGTGAACAGACCCTAAGAGGTGTTAAAGCTAGTTTGATACTCACATGGTCCGGTTAACCATTAAACACAGGTAAAAGCTATGTAAATAATATCCTCTCTGTGAAAACATGACTTGTCACATTTAGCTTTAAAGGGGTCATAGGATTCTACATTTTACAAGTTGTTTGAACTGAAATGTGTGTTGGCAGTGTGTGTACACAACCACCCTATAATGATAAAAATCCACCCAGTGTTTTTTTTTTAAATCTGGTTAAATGTTTTCCCCTTTCTCAAATCAAGCCGATCTCAGATGCCTGTCTGTGTGACATCACCACGATAGTTTGCTTGACAGTAGCATTTCAGCACAGACTGGACTGGTGTCTTAGTGACTGTCATCATTCCGCCATTGTTTCCACTGCAGCAGATGTAGGCAAGAATGACTCCTAAGCGATTGAGGTGTTCTGTTGTTGGATGTAATAATGAACATAGCAGTCGTCATTTACTCCCGACATTTGAGCCGCTGAAGACGAAGGGGATTACATTTGTTTCTGAAAGGAATGCGCCCCCGATCTACCTAAATGCGTCTATGTTCACGCGAATCATTCATGAGCCAGCCTCATCTACAGAAGAAGTGAGTATAATGTTTTGTAATGAATCTTGTTTGAACTGAAATGTGTGTTGGCAGTGTGTGTACACAACCACCCTATAATGATAAAAATCCACCCAGTGTTTTTTTTTTAAATCTGGTTAAATGTTTTCCCCTTTCTCAAATCAAGCCAATCTCAGATGCCTGTCTGTGTGACATCACACAGACAGGCCCCTCCCACGATAGTTTGCTTGACAGTAGCGTTTCAGCACAGACTGGACTGGTGTCTTAGTGACTGTCATCATTCCGCCATTGTTTCCGCTGCAGCAGATGTAGGCAAGAATGACTCCTAAGCGATTGAGGTGTTCTGTTGTTGGATGTAATAATGAACATAGCAGTCGTCATTTACTCCCGACATTTGAGCCGCTGAAGACGAAGGGGATTACATTTGTTTCTGAAAGGAATGCGCCCCCGATCTACCTAAATGCGTCTATGTTCACGCAAATCATTAATGAGCCAGCCTCATCTACAGAAGAAGTGAGTATAATGTTTTGTAATGAATCTTTGCAATCGCCTTTCCTAATAATGTGATAATTAGCAAGTTTCACGATGAATGCAGCTAAAGTAAACAGTCTCTCTGAGAGCAGCTCGGAAGCGAGGGGCGGGGTCAGCAGAGCTCATTAACATTTAAAGGAAAATGCTACAAAAACGGCTTGATCTGAATAGAGCTGTTTTTGACAGGGTAAAAAAAAGTGTTTTTTACACTATCATTGAGGAATATTAACCAAACTATGTTACAGACTTTTCATTAAGACCCTAAAGAATCATATCAACTTGTGGAAAATGGGCATCCTATGACCCCTTTAAA